GAAATAACAGACCAAGAAAATATATCAGGAGGGCACATGAATAAAACTCATCATCACCTCTTTTCCTTTCATTTTTATGGGATTTACATGTCTCTCTCAGAACTAAACATATTTACAGTATCTCCTATATCCGCGGATCTTGTGGAATCCCTTATGTATAAGTACGTTTATAAGGACTGCACCTACAAAAAGTGAAACGTTTCCAACAAATGAAAAACAAACCGTGATAAACAACACAAAGAAGTGTTCTTTTTCTTTTTCCTGTTAGATCGAGGAATTACGAACAAAATTTGGCAACTGACTAGGATCAAGAGAGATTAAGTGCCATCTGCTGGAGAAGTACTTTCTTTTGAGACGCGTTGATAATTCCTTTGCATTCAGCATCCAGTAAGACTTCTGTCATAATGGCAGCTGCATGTCCCCGGGGCTCTTCGGAGGCCCTCCGCAACATGAAGACCTAAACATACCAGACCAACCAACCAAGTTAGTTCCCTCCTTGCAAGATTCACTTAAAAATTAGTATTCATTGCATTTGCAGAGATGACAACCATTTAAAACTTCAAAACATGTCAAAACTAATAAATGCAAACACAAGTTCTATCATCCACCAACTACAACTGGACCCTGAGGCAAAAGGTCCCGTTGGTGTACTCCATAAAATCGATAAAGGACCACACATACTATTCCCCAAACACAAAGCATCAATATCTAGTCCTTTTTAGTTACAAAAGATAGTGATAAAATGAAATTGAATAAAAATATTGAAAGAATTCTCAAAAGCTGATTTTTAAAAGATAAAATGGCAAGTACTTTACAATCTACAAACATGATTCTGTTGAGCAACCGTAATGATTTCACTTTTCATGTTTTTCTTACAAGAGGAGGCCGACGCACAATGTTGGTTTCTATATGTAAATAATCAATTTATCGCCATACACATAATTGCAGAAATGATTACCGTGCATTTAAAACAACAAAGCAAATAAGACAGATCGTACCTGCCCATGATAAGTTATTTCTATGCAGCCAGGTTGTTGGATGAATGGCTCCCCATCTATTTGAACAGGGAAAGGACTGGACGCATGTATTCTGATTAATTGACCTTGAGCAAGCCTCCTGGCTTGTGAAAGCCCAACCTGCAGATATGCAGAAAGAGAGTTAAAATGAAATGATTACACAAAAGTCCTCATCCAAAATCTAAATTCTTGCCTTGTTTGTATGTAAAAGAAGGGGGAGGGGGT